TCTATTTCACTTCTGTGATAAACACAAATCACTACCACCTAATACAAATATTAGTAGTATTACTTTAACATTTTCTTATGTTATTCATCAATAAATAATTAAATAGTAAATAAAACCTACATTTTTTATTAATCAAAAATAAAAAGAGATAACAAGCTCAAATATTTAAAAATTTAATATTGAAAAAAACGCTGTAATATTTAAATCAAATTAAACTTATAAAAAGTAAAAAAGTTTGTTTTAATATTATAAATAAATCTTGAAGTAAAAATAAGTTAAAGTATGATTTTTAATTGATTTTAATATACTGCCGTTTTTTTTATTATTTATTAGCAATACATGTATGCACTTTTTAGTTGTAAGTTAAAGAAATGTTGAGTAACATAATTATTTACGAAGCACGCGACCTGCCGGTCGGTCGACCGGACGTCCAGATAACTAATTTACCAACAGAGCGTGTTGTTTTACGCATATTTGCTCAACAAATGGACGCCCGGTAGGAATAATAATTGTCCAGGCAAAACACTTGACCAACAAAGAGAAGCGAATGAAAGCGGAAAGGGTCGAGATGTTATTGCTCTGCAGTGTTTGCATTCTAATTAATAGTGTGTGGCTGGCAAGCCCTTTCAGTTTACTTTGCCATTAAGTGGTGCGCGGCCAGAAAACACACTCGGCAAAAATATAATTTTCTCTTGAATAAAAAAGGAAAGTGGCTTAACTGGAAAGAAATTCCAACGAGTTTAAATGCGTAGGATAAAAATTATCGGTTCAAAATGGTCGCCGCAGTCTCTGATTTTTGGTGTCTGGCTTCAGCCAATCTTTGATTTCATTTTCTCTAGTGGCGGTTTCTCCCTTTCTTCTGCCGCCTTTTCTCGCCCGAGCGATGGGAAATGGAAAAGGGAGGAGAGTGGCGGCGTCTTACGTTCTTCGTCTTCTTCTCTCTAGGCTGGATTGATCGACTCTCGCTGGCACTGGCAATACAGCCCGAATTACTTGCCGCCAAGAAAGAATAATATTTGGACTGTGGATTGAGGGTTGGCGCTATTCAATCTGCAAACACAGCTGCAATCTAAATTTCGCATTGCTTTACTTTTCCATCATCCCGCCGGAGCACTCTCTCGCTCTCCTCAATCACACTCGAAAACAATTATTCCGCACTGGAGTGACGCAAGTCGCCGGGCTAGAGAGAGATTCGCCGTAAAACGCCGAGCTTTTTAGCACCGGCGCAAGTCGCACAAACAACACTTAAGTAGAAATCTTTAAAGCCCTGCTGCTTCAAAGGCGGCGCAGCGATAAAAGGAACGCACGGGAAATGAAATTTAAAATTTAATCTGTCATGAATTAGAATGCGGAGAAGAGCGTGAAAAAATGCGCCCTCTCGCGAGCAGCCAGTTTAATATCCACAAGGAGTTTTTTATAATTTGTCATGTCACGTACTTAAGCTGTAAAAATCTTCATGCAGAGAAGAAATTACTTGGCGAGCTTTCTCTTTAATTAACATTTTTCTCGTGTAATCCAGCAGAGGCGCGGCCCCTCTTTTATTCTCCGCTCTCTCTCTCTCTTATCACCCCTGCCTGCCTGCACTTTTTCTGAGGGCGCCAACGAGTTGAGATGAGAGAGAAAAAGAGAGAGGAGCAGAGAACGCGTTAAGTGTTGGGTTAGCAATAATTGGATTCGTTGCCGCTCCTTTCTTTCCTCGCCAACTTTCTCATTTCCCTATACACTTCCGAGAGCTCAGCGAGTCCGGCACCGGCTTTAGCAAAATATAATTCCCGTTTTTAGCTTATTATTTAAGTACTTCAAAGGCTGCTTGATCTTCGTTCAATTTTTCAGAGGGGTCAGATAAATCCAATTCCATTATTTTAATTGCACTTGGTTGAGAAAAAATCTGGTATTATGGAGACGCAGCAATAACATTTCAATTAGAATATTAAAATTTTACACAACATTTTCAATAAATTAATGTGGGTACGTAAATTAAATTTAAAAAATAAAATAAAAATGCAGCCAGCTCATTTCTATATTAAATCATTATATGACTAAAAAAATAATTTGTGCTGTATCTTGCAAGTTATGAAAAAATAATAACATAAATTATGCTGTGGCTCTATTTATCCACGGTCAATATCAATTGTTTGATCAATTTTTACACAGAAAAATAATTACTTTTGATATTTTTTTTATTGACAAAAGCAAAAATTTCTGTGGGGGCAGGGCTGTTTTTCTAATTGACATTTTTTACTTGTTAAGTCAAAATAACATTTAGAGACAACTATTATGGACTTCAAAATTTCAATTGAATCAGTAAAAATAATTTTCATAATAACAGGCGAGGGCACAAATTCATAAATTTTCAGTTACTTTAGCGTAAAAATAGTAATTTGAGCATTCTGATTTCCAGAATTCTTTATTTAACTATATGTTTTTTTATTGTTCTTTAAATTTTTAAATTATGTAATTTTGTTTATTTAACTGGGGAGTTACAAATGGGATCACGTTGTAGATTATGTTTGATTTACATTAAAAAAAGAAGAACAAATCTGACTGCAATAAATCGAGCTGCTCTCTGCGCACCATTCAAGAGGCAAAGCTGCGGAGAGTAATTAAAATTCCTTGAGAAATCCACTCGGCGGCTGCTGTGTGTGTGCTGATGCAAATTATCCAGGCGCGCTTGTATTAATTACCAACTAATTAGTAATTTATCTTTTAGTCAACCCCGCCGCCGCCAAGATCTAAAGGGTTGAGTTTCACAAGACACGTAGAGGGTTGAAGAAGGAGAGGAGGTGGCGAGAGAGAGAGAGAAGGCGTCGGGGAAGATGTGCCGCCGTTACTTTTGCCGACGTTGATTAATTTGCCTTGTCGGTGTTATTAATACCAGAGCTTGGGAGGCCACTTATTGCCGGCTGGCTACATTACCGGCTATGAATTATGCACAAATTAGCAGAGCGGAGCAGCCACTCCCGCAGACTTGCTTTACCGGCAACTCGCAGAGATAGAGAGAGAGAGAAGGGGATGATTGCTAACAAGATGAAGAAGGATCTCATGTTCGGCAACAATAAAAATCCAAAGCAAACTCGGCATCAATTACAGGCCAGCCGCAACTTGTGCAAATAGCATTAGCCGGGTGCGGGTATATAAATTCGAGAGGCCAAATCCCTCATCGCGTGACCGCAGAGAGCCACACGCGCGTCAGTGACAACTTCTGTGTTCTTTTTTCTCCTTCTTTAAAAGCAGGGCTCGCGTGATCGCGTGTAATCTGCATTCATTGTATATATGTTGCATGTGCAAATATCGGACGGATGCGCGGCCAAGGCTTGTTGCTCGACCCCATCAAAAATTCATCCGAGACTTGACAAAGCGGCCGGCGTTGCTTGCCAGTCGGCGGATTATAATTCCGAGTAGGCTATTTGCTGGGCACGTCCGTCCAGCGGGCTGCATAACTTAGCCGCTCTCTCTCTCTCTCGGGCTGTGTGACGCAACAAAGCTGCTTGCAGGGGGATTATTGTGGCTCAAGCGATTGGGGTCGTTTATTGTTCTTTAATAATGCATCTGTCAAACTCTGCAACCCCCTGTAACTTTTCACTGCGCAGCAAGTTGTGACGGTGGTAAATAATTTCTATGAGAAAACGTAGCCGTCGAAACTTGATTTTTTATTATAGTTCTTTTATAAATTTAGACTTTTTAATATAATATATATTAAATTTCAGTCCGAACAAAAATTTGAATTATGTTTAAGGACTGAGAAAATATATATTTTGTTAAAATTTCAATTTTTTGGAGATTAATTTTTAATAATTGTTAAGTCTTGAAGTTGTAAAATTTGTTTTTGTTTAGCGTTTATTCAACACCAAGAAGTTTACAATTGTAAAAAATGGCAGCTGTTATCATTTTTTAATATGTTTAATTCCCAAATTTTAATCAAGATTTCTGATGTGCTATCAGAATGAAAGCAGAGTGCTTATGACTGCACGTGGAATTCATATCTGGTAGTGAAAATCACCCTGTTCCCAAGGGTGTGCCACGCCCGTGTCCTGCGACGTCCGTCCTAAAGCAAATTAACTCTCTTCCGCGAAAGCCACGATAATTACGCCCGACCCCAAACCATATTTTCGCAATTATTGATCATCAAATCCCAATTCTTTGGAATTGCATACCTGTCACTGACAGAGCAAACAATAAATTTCAACAGTGGCCGAGTGTGTGTTAATATTTGCCGTGCCGGCGGGCGGCCTACTTAATCAGACGGGTCGGCGGAAACGTAATATGGCGTGCGGTTGGATTTAATTGACCTTTTTAAATTAAAACAATATTGACAGGGTGAAATGTGTGTCAGAGAGCAGGATGTGCTGAGAATCAATTCATCAATCTTGTCTGCAGGACGCTTGCAGATCAATTTTCATTCAATGCTAATTTGACCTCGACGCAATCAATTTCGATTTTTAAAGTTTTACGAGGGCTGATTTGAGAAGAAATATTATTACTAAGCTGGTGAAAAGCACATTTCTGATAATGGATCTCAGAAAATTGAGTCATTCTGATTCAAAATTCAAATTTTGTGATTGTTTTTCGTCTTTCACGAAAACAAGACTTGATTTGTGGGCTTTACTTGGAGACTTTTTTGTTGGTTATTTTATTCAGCATATTTGTTTCTCTATAACTTTTTGATGTTAAGATATATAATACAAATTTTTATATTCAAGTAAAACTTAAAAAAAATTAAAATATTAAATTATTTGACTATTAAGCACTTGAAAAATTGACTAGATCTAATTATTGGCTTAAAAGCTTCTTTTTTAATCGATTCAAATTGGACTTTCGAAACTAAAGTTTGATCAAAATTGTCACCTTTTTCGATTTCGAGAAAAGAGACCAGAATTTTTTATTTTCAATTCAATTTCTTCGAGCTAAAACTTTTAAAAGCTATACATATTCCAATAGTATATATAAAATTTTATCCGAATTTAAATAAAATTATTTTTAAATATTCAAATAGATCCTACCTGTGTGGATGTAGGTGTGTTTCTTCATGTCAGACTTCTGGTGGAAGCGTTTTCCGCAGTACTGACAGGGGTAGGGGCGGGTGTCCGAGTGGATCAGCAGATGCGTGGACAGGGTGGACGAACGCTTGAACGTTTTTCCGCACTGCTTGCACTCGAAGATCTTCTCCACGCTGTGCACCGCCCTGCAACAAGATCTAATTTTTCAGGTAAATCCGCATTCATCAGAACTCGCCAGATTAAATTTCGCCTTGAAATTTGCTCTGACGACTTTCCGTTCTGCGGGAGGGGTGTGGAAAATTTATGCGGTCGAGGTGTGAGAGTCGTGCCGAGAAAATTTAACCCGGCGCGAATTTATATTTATAAAGGTTGACCGCTGGCGAGTGAGAGCGCGTACAAAGTTGGGAAATGAAAAAGCGGCACAAATATCAGTTGCAGACAGTATTAGAGATGATATGAAAGTCTCCCTGGTGGATTTCGCTCTCGGCGCTGTTTCACAAACGGTGTAAAAGGGGTGGCGGCGCGTTGCATATTTAAAGGCGCCGCATCTCGAGGGACAATGCGAGCGAGCAAGCGAGCGCGCGTGTGTGAGGAGTGTGTGTATGCGTGGCTGCCCGAAACATCAGACCAAGTAACAACTCTGACCATCAAATCTCTCGGACCTAACTATAAACATACACGCCAGCAACACCGCATTTGCGATGCCTTTTCACTTTTTACACTGACACGACGTGCAAATGCGGCGCCACTCTTGACAGCCTTTTCCGCCTTACTTTCAAATAAATTAATGTTGCTTACGTTTTATGTGCTAGTTTTGTTTCACCGATCTCCATAAAATACATGATTAATTGATTTTTCTCAAAATCTGATAATTTTTGCTGATTTTTTAATTAAAATTTATTTTCAGTTGCAATTTACTCAAATGTAATGTTGCAAAACACTGAATTTATTTAATTAACAATCAAATTTTAAAAAATCATTTGAAATCTCAAAAATAGGCAGTATATAATTTTCCACAATTTCCATAAACCAATTCAACTATAGATCACCCTGAAATCGCATAAATTAAATAACTTTTGATCATGATGAAACGTGAAACTGTGCAGCTTACAAAATAGATTTGTTACCCACTTCTCTTTGAGAATTTTTTTTCATAAAATATATTATTTTATTCTCTTTGGTACCCAAACCATCCTTCATTCTGCTTCTTGATGATGTCCATTTAGGTCGCATGAATTTTGCATCGGGCGTCCCAAAATCGCAATTGCGTCCTTAAAAATGCATGCGGCGCTAAATATTAAATCAACCGTGTTGAAAAATGCTGCAGTATTCATGGCAGGCTCACATAATACAATGCCACTGACAGCCGGGTGAAAACCCGCATGCCTCGCAATCTCATTGCTGAACAGGATTGTGTCAACCTTTCATGCAGCTTTCCCAAACATGGAACGCCGCAAATTCTGCTTGAATATTTGAACAGACGCGCGCGAAGCGATGGAATGAGCTCTGGCTTTCAGTGTTCGGTGCAGAGATATTTTTGGAAAACCGTGAAATGTGAAATTTAATCTGGTGAAAAGGAAGCTAAATAAAGAATTCCATTTAGAACATCATTTTCTTTTTTAGTAAAAATTGGAAATTAAATGTTTTCTTAGTAATAGTAAAATATTTTAAAATTAGATGAAATTATTATCATCAAGAAAATATAATAAATGTAAAAGAGTAATTTTAAATCTGAAGAAAGTAAGAAAAATTTATAGTTTTTTGATCATTTGATTGTATCATGATTTAATACTCACAATGATTAATTAGAATTTAAAATTTATGTATAAGTTTGGCTTTCTAATCAAATTATTATTTACACTTCGCATTACTGCTAGAAAATCAGCTTCTAAATTATTACGAACTTTTTCAAAATTTTGAGTATTTATATTATATGATTTATTTTCCTCGCGTTGCTTATAACAGAGTTTTATTTTTTTTTATTTTGCGCATAATGAAAGATTCAGGCCGAAATAATTTTGATTTAAATTTATGGGGGCTGCGTGCTGTGTTCTCGTGTAAAGCACAATTGTCACCGGAAAAAAAGAGTACCGGGAGGGCCCACCAGTGAGTCTTCAGGGTTCGCCAGCATTTCCATCTCGTCACGTAGGCGCGCGGGCAAAAAGGGAAAGCACTCGACATACAAAGCACCTGCTTACCTGTGCTGGCTGAGGCTGATCTCGTGTCCAAACGTCTTGTTGCACAGCTCGCAGGCGAACGGCCGTTTGCCGTTGTGGGAGCGCCGGGCGTGCACCTCGAGGCCGTGCGGCGTCGAAAACATCTTTTCGCATTTGATGCACGAGTACACGTCCCCGAGGGGCCCCACGGGCCTCAACAGCCCGCCCGTCTCTTGCGACTTGGCCGACGGCCCGTTCGCCATGGCGGCGGCCGCGGCGGCCACGGCCGCGTGTTGCATGGCGTGGTGGAAGTGGTGCCGGAGGCGGAACAGTTCCTCGTGGTAAGGGGCGGCCGATCCCGCCTCCGGGGGCGACGTTGAGGAGGCCGTCGAGTTGGGTGAGGCCGTGGAATTAGGCGAGGTGACGGCCGGTTGGGAGGCGGCCGCGGCCGCTGCGGCCAAACTGAAGTAGAGGGAGCCAAAGTGGGGAGGGGCCTGGCCGCCTTCGCGGTCGTACAGGCCGAGGCCGAGGAGGGGAAAGTGGCGGGGGATGAAGTGGGCATGCTCCTTCAGGTCGAGGCCAGGGTAGAAAAAGGGTCGCGGGACGTCAGGAAGGACCCTGCGCGCGGGGTCAGGTCGGCTCAAAAGGGCGCTGACGCTGAAAGTCTCCGAGTGTTTTGCCGGAGGTTGGACCGCGTTTTGTTTTGAGTCGGGGGTGTCGCGGCCGCCGAGCCAGACGCGGGTTTTGCTGCTGGAAGAGTCGGCCTTGCTGGTCGGGGGTGGCGGTGAAGGAGACGAGGGCTTGTCCTCGTCGCAGGGTGAGGGGTTTTTGCGGGAGTCCACCAGTCGGCTCACTCCAAATGTGATGCTCCCTGAAACAATTATAAATTTATTTTAATATAATTTCCAAAGATTATTCAAACAAAAATATTTTTCATCATTCCTGGATAGATACGAATATACCATTGATGATAAAAAAATACAAAAATGAATGCCATACAAAATTTAAATAAAAATAATTTTATCTCATATAAATTTAATCAATAATTTAAGCAAGCTTTTAGCAATTTTATTTCATTTAATAATATTTAAAAATATAATCCTATTATTTTAATTAAAAGTATTTATTAAAATTTTTAAACAATAAACTTTTATCGATTTCAACAGTTTCATTTGTTTAACAAGGTGTATTTAAAATAAAATAATAATGTTGCTTAAGTTAACCTGGGGTATCAAAATGTTATTACTAATTCCTCGACTTGAAACTGAGTATCATGACAGCAAATTAAATTTATTTAGTTTTGAAACATATCTACTTCAAATTCTAGCTCAAATAGAGGTCAAATTCTTAAAAGTATGTATATAATAGTGATATTTGAAATTTGAATATTTAATTAACAAGAAAATATTCAAGACAAAGTACTGAAGAAAAAAAATATTATTTCTGAGGTGTAAAAATAAACTAATGTTGGTCAGCGGACATTTTCCGACCATCGAGGGGGGGGGGTCATGTTATCACAGCGAAAATTACAAAGCTCATTACTTGATGAGCGCTTTTCTCTCTTTTTGATATACTGCCGCGCGAGGCGATGTAGCGGAATCGCGAGAGGGGTGTTGCGACAGGCGAGTCATTGTTGTGTTCATTATTGCTCAGCCGCTCAAAAACTATCAATCACGCCTAAGCCCAACTTGTGAAACAAAACACGTGTGCCGGGAAAACGGCAAATCTGCTGCCGCTCTTCCGACGCGTTACAAAGCAACCGTGCTAAATTGACATAGTGCACAATGCTAATGAGAGATTACGGCCGCAGGAGCACAACAATAAAATATATAGCATGTGCTCGAAATCGTTTCACATCAAGTGGCGAAAAATAATTGCAGAGTTGAGACGCAATATCGAAACCATATAAGAATAAAAATTCCCCAAAGGAGGTGCAATTTCGAAATTAATTGCGCTCAATAATTTCAAGTCTCGTTTAATTTCCTAATATCCTCTGAATACTATTTACAGGGATTAGTGCAAAGCTCTCTCGGTTGTAAAAAATAAAACTTAAGCGAGAGATATAAGAATTCTTTGACTTTGCACGCCGATTTTTTTATACTCGATTCGCGTCGAAACGCTTGTTATTAAATTATTTTACAACCAAGAGCAAACATAAAATTCTAGCCTAACGCGGGGCTGTTAAAAAATAATATTTCGGTCCACACTACCTAAAACCTTGACGGGAATTATCACCGCGCGCCGAGGAGGCGCTAATAACCCAATCTTATCAAAGGCAATAAGACGGGGCAAATAAACCGGTAAAGTGTAATTTACGACGGGGGTATCGTAAAATATTCCTCAATTTTCATCATCATCACGGCACTCCCAGCTCTTTTGCATGATGCGCCGTATTATGACAGCAAATTTGAACATAAAAATAAATCAATTTCGGCCATGATGAGCGCACAATGGAGGTCTTTTCTTATTTCTTCCCCAATGAATAAATTATCCCGGTCAATTTGATATATATTCGTAAATTACAAGTTCATCCTGCTCTGAAGTGTTATATATTTATTGCCGACGTTAATTATCATCATGAGAGCGGGGTGAAAAAAAATTATTAACTCTCGTGTGTGGATTCGCAGTCATGCTTCCGTGCTTTATAGGGGTGTGAAATTCGGGGGCCGAAAACTAAAATGCCATCTGCTGTTTGGGGGCCGCGAGAGATGAATCCGAATGAGGGCATATGTTGCTGCTCTCGCAGATCTTTTCAATGGCTTAATTGCTCCCTCACTTTTACGGCCGGGGAATTTTAGTGTTATTGTCCGCGCGCCAGATATCAGAGCTGCAGATGATGACAATTTTCTCGAATTTATAAGGACATATCATAATGTTTATGCTATTTGCCGAAACCCCTGCTATAAGTAAGTGTTTGTCGAGTGCGCGTCTGGATTAGAGCGTTGCCTCGATCACACGCTGCACAAGACGCACCGCGCAATTTACACACACAGTAGATAAAAAAGTTGGGCGAGTGATTTATGCCTGTTAAATGTTATCAGGACCACAATATAAACCACGTCACTGTTCAATACCGACTGGTAATCCAATATCAAATCCCAGTTATAATAAAATGCCGAGCCGAGAGAGAGAGAGAAATCCTTGTGCCACTCCTCAGCAAGATTAGTTTTTATGTGCGCCGGCCTAAAATTATCTTCGCGCTGGGAATTTTGTATCAGTCAAGTTAATAAATTTGGATTAATATTGATGCTTTCGGTACAAAAAAGCAGATAGTAACAAACAAAAAAAGAAGTGAAATGAATAAAACAAAATTTAGATTTCGACACTGGCGTAGTTTTTTTTCTATCAATAAGGATGCTTAAGTATTTTATAGCATTTATTAATTTAAGAGATCCTTTTCATTATATATTTTTTTTGTTATTTTTTAATTCTAACAACGATTTTTTAAAAATTGCACTGGTAATAATTATTGTATTTCAATTTTAAATGCTGCACGGATAATTTAGAAAATAATTATTTACTAGTTACATTGATTAAACTATGCATTGAATATTGAAGTTAATAAAAATATCTGTCATCAGTTAAATTACGCAATGTGCATCTTTTGGAAAATTAAACTCACAAAAAAATCGCATCATTTTTAATTAAAATCGATGAAATCACGCCCTGAATTAACTCATCACGTTCCAATTACGTTATCGCGACATTCCTTAAGAATGGATTGAAATTTTGATTCGCTGCGCGCGTTTTCCAAAGAATCCGCTTATACCAAAAGGGATTTCTTTTTAGGCGTTATCTGACGCGCGGTGCGAGTGTAGTTTGCTTTCGGTGACAGCAGAGTGTTCTTTGATTTATTGCTATTGTGACCACGTGGTCTCATCAAATCACTTCTTATCACAGGCGCTAATCCCTTTTTTCACCGAAACCCTGCTGGCTCTCTCTCGTTTTCGTGCTGCCGCTGTGATCGAGGACCCATCATCGCCTCGTGCAGGTTGCGTCCGCACAAAACACACACATACAACTTGGAGCGAACGAACACCTTTCCGCTGTAAATATCGTGTTATCTCATTCTCACAGGCAGCCGAACACATCTTGCTGTCTAATTCACACCTTTCAATAACATACAAAGTGATCTTTACAAAAATCAAAAAATATTTTTAAAAAACTAATAATAATAATTAATAATAAATTTAAAAATAAAATTTTTTACAATATTTTTCATCTTTTTAACTACTGATATTTTTTCTATAATTAAAAAACTGTTATTTTTTTATTAAGTTATTAATTTAAAGATGAAGAATTTTGCATAAGAATTCCCAGCAATAACTTATCTAACGTTATTTAAAGCAAAATTAAAAATATGGTTTAGTTATCGCTCAAGATCTTCGTGGAAATTAATTACTTTGTAATACTTGGTAGGACTTCGCAATGCAATGAAATATATATTTAGATTGACAATATTCATCACCTCATAAATAACTGGGCCTATAATTCTAAATAAATAATTTCAGAATTTAATAAAGAAAGTTATTATAAAAACTGCTTCTAATTTACAAATTAATTTTGTTCATACAATTAATTTTCAAGGCTGGCTGATTGCTCAATTCAGAATAATCAAACGCGTCAAACGGCATTAATCCTGTGCATGTCTGTATAGCAACAATAATTTGCAAGCGTCTCGTTTCACAGGTCGCTCGCGTGTGCTTCTCTCGCTCTCGGATGCAAACTATAATTGTCGGCTAGATTTGTGCCAGCCTAATCTGTATGCACAGCCGCACACAATTGCGCTCTCAGTGCCCTGGGGTGCAATCAGCTCTCGGTGTCAGGAGCTGATTGCCAGTATATGCCTCGCCATTACACCCTGCATCATCAAAAAGCTCCGGGCCGGCGCAATCAAGAAAAGCCCAATCTCGCACTTATTCCGATCCGACTGAGAGAATGAAAGAAGAAAAAAGAGAGAAAGCATTTTCCTCACCTTTGCTTGTGGGCTCGTCTGCGGCGGGGCTCTGGGCCTGTTTCTCCTTGATGAGGGGTGCGGCGCCCCACAGACGGCTGTAGTAGTTCAGACCGGCCAGCGAGGCGGCCGCCGGGGTGGCCGCTGACGAAGCAGTCCCTGGACTTGACGAGCTTTTCAAATCTGCCAACATTTTAAATAGAATCTTTACATTCTAAGAATCAAAATAAATAAAGTAAGAAGGTCAACCAAGGCTCACTGCGAGGATGGGGTCTTTTCGATTTTGGAAGTTTTAGCAAAATTCCTGCTAGTGGTGGTGCCGTTTTGTCCAACAATAAGTTGTTTTCAACAATTGAATGTAAACAATGTGAAGTAACAATTTGGCAAATAAACAATATTAATAGTATTTCAGACGATATGGTGAAAAACTATATTTGATTATAAATATATATTTTTTTTAAATACTAGTGTGTTTTTAAATTTATTATTGAATAGAGTTATTTTAGCCTAATTAAAAAAGTTATAAATTCCATGGAATTTTGACATATATGTCTTCTAAATCAATCCTTTAATAATACAACTCTGGAATTATTGATTAAAAGTAACGTAAAATTCATTGATTCAATTACATCTTAGGAAACAAAACTAGTAATTAAAAAAAAAATAAGATAGAATATTTTTCAGCATTAATTTCAATTGAAATTTCTTTCTTGTTCTTAATAGCATAATCCATATGGTTTATGTTCATCAGTGTTTTATTTGCTTCTTTGAACCATGTATTAATAGAACTAGTTTTTTGTTCATAAATTAGTTTGGGACTTGGGCAAACGTCAATTAAATAACTATTGAGACGTATCAATCTACAAACTTTTTTTTTAAATCCTTATAAAAATGTGCAATAAAATACATGCTGATATGATAATTTTATTATAATGTTAAAAATCTACATATTTTAAAAGCTAAAAAGTAAAAATACAATTTTTTTTATAAAAATTAACCTGCAACATAAATTATACATTTTATAAAAAAAATGTAAAATAAAATTTTCATTATTTAAAATTTTACTCAAATAAAGAATTTGAATAAAGAATATAAATTTGCATGTAATTGTTCAAAACTTTTGTATTTAAAATATTATAAAATACACAAGGTCTTGTTTAAAAAAAAATTATGCATGTATTTTACAATGTGCAAATTTTTCTCAGGCTTTTGAGGAGGATGACGCTTTGGTCTTGCGATCATTTGGGCAACGCGGAACCGTTGGCGGAACTCGGTGCATGCTGGCATGCAGCCGAACCAATTAAACATTCTCAGGCGCACTTTTTGCCGAGCAAATACACGGCCGAGAAATGGAGCCGGCTCCGAATTGCTCCGTCTGGCTGTGAATTTTCTGTCCCACGGCTTACCAGCATTAGCAGAGTTGTTCAGGAACTGCACGCGGGGCAGAAAAAAATTGGATCGCACGGCGCCGCAAAAAAGCGAATGCAAAATATGCGCGACCGAAAAAATTAGCACTGCCGTGACGTCTCTTTGCGTCAAAGTTGAGCACATTAAAGGCGCAATCTGTGCCGCAAACTGAAGAGATTCGCAGCTTGACGTCACACGTGTGTGAGGAGCTGCTTTTTGCGTTTTTTGTCAGGGCAAAAAATCGCGCGCCGTTCTAATTAAGGAATTCTTTTCGCTGGTGGAATTTATTTTCGCAGCCCTTCTAACACACACTCCAGCAATTGAGATTGTCACGCTATGGAGCTGCACCGCCGCTAAAAGGAATTTGAGACCGAGTGCCATAGATAAATCAATTTAATCGGCTGACAAAAATTGCTTCATGTGCTTCGAACTTTTACAGGAGCTCTAATTCTCATGTACTAAAGTGAAAAAGTTCCATAATTGGGAGTAGAAATCTTTTGCACTTTTGAAATGTGGAAAAAAAACAGTGAAATGAAGAGAGGATCTAAAAAAATTTAAAATTAAAATGTTCTTTAAATTTTAGAAAAAATTATTATTTTTTTTTTAAATCAGAGGAAAAAGCTGTTATGCATTTAATTTTAAAGTTTGTACGGCGCGGAATCTTAATCAAGAGACAAATTTCTTTAGAATTTTTTACTTTTTTTTGTAAATTTCAAATAAAAATTAATTCATTTTATATTTGATCCTCTTTCTTTCATTGAATTGCACAATTTTTTAAACGCTGAAATACTCTCTTCAACCTTATATATTAGCATTTTACATTAAATAATCAGACGCGATTTATTTTTTGTTTTTTGTTTTTAGCAGAAGAGATTAGAGTGCGCGTGGGAATGTTTAGGAGCGCAACTCACACAGAATTATTTCGCAATAATTGTTTGTTTTGTCTCGCAGGCGCAGTAAAAATATATAGAGGTGTTTGTGGAATATTTATTCTGATTTCTGGCTGCCAGCTTTGCGCGCGGTTTACTGTTCAAAATCTGAAAATAATCACGTTTTGCCAATTATTCCCAAGCCGCAGTCAAAGCTCAAAGCCGTGTCGAGCGCCTTCCGAGAAAAGTGAAAGAAAACGCAGCACTGAAGCGTTCCCAGATCCTTTTTGAAACAAAAAATTTGTTTCAAGAATTATACGCCACTGTATTTGTAAACATTTTCATGACAGAATCTCAAGCTTTGCTAAATCGCTAAATTTCAGTAAGAGTTTTATAAATTTCAAAAATTTTAAACAGCCAGTCATAAATTAACGCGCGCATGCGATTTTGAATAAAGAAAACAAAAAACAATTATTAAAATTCTTACCATTAGAATTTTTGTTTTATTGGAAAAATTTACTTTAAATTTTGATTAAACATAAATAATAATTTTAAAAATACAGAGAAGTTAATAAAAATATAGAGGCACTTAAATGAAGTCTGAAACTTTTTTTAATCCATTTTAATTTTCATTGCATGTTTTGTGAAATATGTGATATCAGATTTGATTTGGTCTTGAACAGGTAGAGCTAGTTTTAGTTTCCCAAAATCACCTTTGAGCTAAAAAAAAAAAAAAAAAGATTTAAAATTTTTACGTGATGAAAGGAAATGAGTAATCCAAGACTTTGAAAGTTTGGTCAACTGTAAAGCAAAAGTTTTTGTCATCGTCGGCTCAATATCCTTTCACTAAAAAACCTTCTGAATAAAACATTGATGTAAATATAGACTATTCTATTACAAAATAATAAAACGAAAATTTGAAGTCTTTGTGAAAATTCCTAAAATTGATCCGCACACAATAAACTTATTTTTAATTCAACTAAAGAGAAGAATACAAAAACCACGTGTTGATGATTTAATGATAAATGTCTTAACAATTTTAAAATAAATTAGAACTCACCATCGCCTTTGCCTTTGGGGGTGACAATTCTGAAAGCACTGGAGTTGGAGTTGGCCTTGCCGAGAAACAGGTTGAGCCCTGAAGGTGGCGCCGAGTTAGGCGCCGCAGGGCTCGGCGACCTGCTGACGTTCGGCGAGCTGCTCGGACTGCTGTGCCTCTGGTAAAGGTAGGACGAATCGTCCAGGTTGTTGTTGTTGACCGCCGCCGACTTGAGGGTGAAGTCGATGGGGTGCGACGACGAGATCGTCTCCATTTCGGACCCTGAGCTGCTGGCAGGAAGGTCTCGGTGCGAGCTGCTGTCCTGCCGGTGGGTCCACTTGCACACTGTCAGCCGCCAGGCCACTCTTGGCAATCTTTGGTGTGCTGCACACACCCACCGCGGCCCCCACCACCGCTATCAATTCCGGATAATCTCACCCTTGCTCACCCCGCGCCACCGACAAACACACCCCGCCGACTCATTCACCTGCTGTGTACGTACAAGTGCTTGCGAATAATCCAAGTGATTTTTCCATTTAACCCTTATTTATTTTACATCTAATAAATTTATTTGTTTTTACTTTCAAAATTTACCAAAATTTTTACTTATTTTTTTAATTAAATTTCAAATTTTTAGATTTTAAGTATTTGAAAAATGTTCATTTGGGAAATTTTTTCCCAATTTTGAGGATTTTCATCTCAATGCAAATGCAGATTTTGGTTCTGGAGCGAGCGTGGGTTAAAGTCGTGGCGCATTGATTGGTGCCGTGGTAGTGAGATTATAAGCTTGCAGCTGCGTGATTGGTTGCCAGGCAGGCCTTAGTGCCACGCCTATAGTCGCAGTTAGCAGTACTCACTGTGTTTGCATCGCGGCTGCCGGAAAATACAGTCGGGAAAATACACTCATGCCGAGTGTGATTTTTAAAGCGTCAAAAGAGCGCGGCGCTTTTAACAACGGCACATTCCGAAACAAACTAACTAAACGCCGATAATTAAAAGCTGCGCTCTTCTTGTTTTTCAATTATTAATGGCAACGAAATTAAATTGTAATATTTTTAACCTCCATAAATAAAAATAAAAACTACTAATTATCTGGGACAATTCATAGAAGGTTTATTTAGAGCTATAAATTTGAGAAATTTTGAATCTCCGTGTAAAAGAAATTGAATCGCTTAATTCAAGACGATTTCAACAATTGCGATTATTTATTACAATTAATTTTTGACCCTGCAAGAGTTGCATTCTCTTTGTTCGCGCGATAATCTGTGATGTTTGGAGAGTCGTTCATTATACATGGGATTAAACCGACGCAACAATGAATCATTAGGAATTAAACAGAGGCGGTGTTGAGAGGGTGAATCCACTAGCCGCCCTTATTGTGAACCGCGGCGTGCAGTGTGCAGGGATTAAAGCCTCAGTCCTCTGATACGAAACGGGCTAATAATTCTGCACGCCCATTTGCATTATCACGCTGCGCACCAAGACAAAGGAGCCTCAAAACCGGTGGCGATTATATGCATAGAAAAAGAGAAGAACGGAGTTGCTTCTTTTTGCAGCGCGCCCTCGGAGATTAGCCGATCCTCTGTGGCGGAATTGAGCCTTTTCTGCGTTTTCTAAAGGATTATAAATTTGTACATCGCTTCTTTGCAGCTCCTATTTGAAAATGAGGGGATTTGCGGTTTTTGCTGCACAAGAATGAATAAATAATCTTAATTGTGAACTGCCCGGTTGAATTCTTTTCACGGTTTTTGAAATGAAAATAAAATTATTCAAATAAATTAATCTTAATGAACAATAATAATCTTTTATGCACAAGTTCTTATTTATTAATTTATGACATAAAAATTTATTTTCAACCAGAACTTAGGGAATTTTAAATAATTTGAGTTCAATTTAGAGATATTGTGATAAATTTTTTATTTTTGTTTCAATAAAACTTAAAATTGAGATTCAGAGAAAAAACAAATTTGAGAATTTACCTCATCAAATCAAGTAATTACCCAGCCCTGAACGTCATTTTAAAAATCGACTACCCTTTTTGATACTTTCCGTTTACTATGCCACCTTCAAAGGGTATGCAACACGCTGGACACCTGAGGCCGACAGGTTGCTCGACCTTTTCCTCTCCTTCTGAAACTCGTCTTTTTGAGGTTGGTGGTCACTTTAATTAACCCAATATAAATGCTTTATAAGCTATGTATGTGATATAAAAACACTGTTAGAGATTCAAGTTGCTGCGATTTTAGGGATAAGATCATAACAATAGACGGACGTGTACTTCCCCAGCAGCTTTAGTGCGTCAGGTACGCAGTAAATCTCTTTGTGAATTGCAGAATTGCGGGCGATAAGCGCGCTCGTCAAGCAGCATGTCACGTTTTCATATAGTATTATATGCGCCCGTCATGTGACATTGATCAAATCGTTAATGCCACACGCTCGACAATACGCGCCGAGTTGCGAAAGCGGCGCATTTTTGCTGCGCGAAAACAGGCTCGAACCGCTTCAGAAATATTATATTATCGCAGAGAGGCGCAGAGCAAATCATTATCGCTCGAATTTCATGCACTAAATCTCGGATTAACACTTGGCCAGATAAGACCTGTTTATCTGTTCAATTAACCTCATAAAATCTCTTTGGAGTGGAGGACCACTCGCGCCAGATTAAAATAAGACACGTCTCGCGTGTTTGCTTTGTTGCACCTAATGACGGTTGTGAAGCAATCAGGGATTGGTTTTTTTTGCGCAGAAACTTATGAAATTTGGCTGAATATACAGAAGTGTCAACCTCGTAATTGCAAATGAAGTAACCAGCTACAAATTGGTTTAAATAAATAAAGAAAAACGCTCACATTTAAAAAAATTTCTTCAGAACACATTGCACCGCCATATAGAGTAAAAATTATATTCTTTGATATTCAATATTTCTGAGTTCATTCAAAATTATTTAAAAAACATAATGATTTTATTGTAACCAATAATTAATTTTCTGTGTTTATGTGACGTAAATTTTGTGTATCTGGTGTTTATTAGAGTTGCTTAAATTGGTGTTTTATTTATTTATTTTCTTTGTTTATTTTTTTTAAAGGCTGAATGATTTATTTTTAAAAGGATAAAGCGGAAAAAAAATTTAGCTTCAGGTTTTATTCTGTAAACTAAAAAATTTTAATAAAAAATGTTTTCATGCAATTTAAATAACACAAACAGTAATTAAATACACATTTTTATTAATTTATTTTAAATTAATCTTTAATAATAAATTTTTTTAAAGTAAAAATAATAATGGATATTTTCAAATTTTGTAATGTCAGTGTAATTTTTTTAACCAAAATAAGTTAGTCAAATTAAATATTTTGATTTGAAGCATATTTGTTCCTATTGCTATGATTTTAAACAAATTTGGATTAGAGGTTTGTGATTGTCGCTATACGATCTGGAGTCTGGACATTGCCATTAATGAATTCCCGTTATTTGCTTATTTGAAAGCGGCATCACCAAGAATTAATTAAAGCCTTGCTTGCAGACCATAAATCACACCGCGCGACCGGGTGCAAACAGGGTAGCGTTCCGAGCATCCCCAACTGCAATTTCATCGCCTGCTCTCTCAGATTCGTTTCGTCGCCGGCAGATTACCGATGATGAATGCCCGTCGGCCGCTGCAGTATTGATTTGAGCAGGCGCGCGCCCATAAATGGGTTAATTGCTGCGATAATTGGCATTCCATTGTCGCGAATCATGAGAAATTATGCATCCGAGCACATGCGCCCGGAATAAATTACATAATGAAGAACTCGCGCGCGCATCTATTTATTCACCCCTAGTTCGCGCAGGGGAAATTTTTTGTTCGTCGCCCTCGGCGCTACCCCTCCTCGATTTTCAAGCGGGATTTCACTTTGATGCTATTATGCTCAGCACCCCTGCCTACTTGCGACCATAATAAATATTAGTGGTGTGTGCCCACATCAATATCAACAATTATAGTTGAAAAGTCAATCCCGCCTGTTGAAAGAGCTGCTCCTTTCCGGCGGTGGGTTATGAAGTTCTTCCACAATGCCGCCTTTAATATGATGATGTGCACTTTATGCAGACCCGGTCGACCCTCTCACTCGGTGTAATAAAAATATTCATTGCGAGAAATGAGCGGAGAGGGATTAAAATCCAGTTTTATTGGCACTTTTTATTGCGCTGCTCTGCAAGTTACTGCTTGAATGGAAATTCGGGAGAGGATGATTGTAAAACTGTGCCTCTAATTTGAATTTTATGGAATTGAAAACTCGGGTGGAGCCTTTTCTCTAATTTTACGTTTAATTTCACCATATTTGTATTGTTTTAATGCAAAATTTTCTGTTCATGAATTGGTTGTTTTCTAGAGCTGGCTGCCAATTCTCTCATTAATGTGAATTTCCAAATAATCTGTTTTTGACCTGTTGTGAGAGAATAAACTAATCGAATTGAATTGGAATCTAAACTTCATCTCCTTTCATAAATGAATTTAAAACAGTTTTCTTCTCAAGATTTAGAAAATAATACAATAAATGAACAAGAAAACTTCAGTCGATAAATAATGTCAAGGTATTTAACTTTTATTCAATTAAGACACTTACAATGGAATGTCACGTATTATCTATAAATTTTGCCTTCTTTTCCTTTTTAAACTATATTTTTCGTGCAATTCCAGCTCACCCAACTCTTCTATTTGCAGTGTCCTTTTGTAAAGCAATTGTGCGTAATGTTTAGATTTGTGTCCCTAAAAGGAGATGACGTGATCTTGGTGACGAGTTGGTCAATAATTGCCGGCCTTACACAGCAGTTCTAAATTTACACTCGGCCAGAATTGCGTGGTTATCAGAGGAGGCGCCAGCACTGGATAACGATTGTCCCCGGCCGACTCAGATTCTCATTTTTCTCAACCTTTTGACCATCTCGTTAAATGCACGCCTACGCACAATAAAAGCAAGCAGAAGACGCGGCTCGGCGCTTTCCGGCTGCTCGCTTTACGTCCCACATGCATTTCTCCGCGTTCTTGCGTGATTGTCTCGCCGGCAATCACGAGTTAAAAAATTTAAATTAAACATCGGCAGCGACATGGGGGCGACGTGCCGAGTTTTTATTCTCGGATTTCTCAGAACGAACCGTGATAATTAATCTCTGTGTCAGACTCGCGAGACTTGACGACTATCTCTAATTTTTTTATTAAACAGCACTCAATTTGTAAATTAATTATATATGCTAAAACTTTTAACAACTTTATAAATATCTTAAAACATAAAACGCATTAAACAAACAAAAAAACATTCAATACTAATTTTTTATTTATTTAATCAAATAATTTAGCA